CTCTCCTCCTCCCTCTCTCTGGAAGATAAACACATGATTGCCTACAGACAGCAAGCTTGTATTCCTGTCCTTGAATGGACAATCTTGTGGCTGAAAAATATAGGCTGAGATTCATAAATCCAGATTTATAATACTCTGTTTCAAATTGAAGTACGACCCACGTACTTTAGAACAGTGATCGAATCATGCGCAGATGAGATTAATCTGCTACTCTAATGTATATTTTTAGAATTTCCCTGTCTATTTCGTGAGATAAAAGGTAAATGTTCCAGGTTTGCCTACGGCAGTGGTGGTGAACCTATGGCACGGGTGCCAGAGGCGGCACTCAGAGCCCTCTCTGTGGGCACTCGCGCCGTCAACCCAGTCCTAGGCCTTCAGCTGGGTTTTATAAAACCTTTTCGCTTTAGGCCTCCGCTGCCGTGTACAAAAAAAAAGAAAAGGTCCAATCAATCAGTCAATTTCAACTTCTCGTGGAAAAAAAAGATCTTGCAAAGTTGGAATTGATTAATTGAACTTTTTAGTCCCACCCAGTCTGCTGTTACCACCGCAGCCACGCCCACCCAATGGGCCACACCCACCCAATGGGCCACACCCACCCAGCCCCCGACGATGCATAAGTGGGTTTTGGGTTGCAGTTTGGGCACTCGGTCTCTAAAAGGTTCGCCATCACTGGCCTACGGGGTGCTCTCTCTTCCACAGCACAAACAAACATATTTCCATGTCATTAGGTGCGAGGTTTAGCTCCTGTGCTCTTGAGACAGATAATAAAGCAATTCTGTTCCTGGTCAATGCACTTGATGCCAGCCAAAGGAGTAAATGAGATTTTTTCTTGTGGACATCATATTCATATCGGTGTCGCTACTCCATCGCAACTCAGTGCATCTGTCTGAGTGGCGTTCCATTTTTCTTCTTTCTGCTCTAACGAAGACATGCCCACACGATGCGTAGACAGTATGAATCAATAAGTTGGTTTTTTTTTAAGGTGGGTTTGGAGCTTTGAACCGTATTTAGTGATAATTGTCGCCAGTATATATTTTGCAGGCCATCTGCTCTCGAACTGAATCAATGTAGGCCGATCGAAAGATATTAAATTGGTGTCGTACCTTCGTGGCTCCCTCAGAAGGAAAATCCCTGGCCTTTTCAGCATAGTTGTGAAATCAAAGATAATAATAATAATAATAAATTTGGAAGGGACCTTGGAGGTCATCTAGTCCAACCCCCTGCTCAGGCAGGAAACCCTATACCATGTTATGCATGTTATGCTTCTGCACAGTCAGTGTCCAGCTCTGACCCATTTTAGTGTTACATCTGTGCTTTGGATACCAGAAACTGGTGCCAAATATGCTTTTGTTTCAAGAGCTGGTGCAAAAGTAATCATGATTAGCATTCATATATCCGCAAATGTAGCAGTCATCACAGCAGATGCTGGAAATGGAAGAGAAATTAAAATAGAGAGCTCAACAGGAAAATAGACAGTGAAGCACATGGGAGGGTGAAAAGGCTCAGCCACGTAGCTCCTTTAGTTTACTCTGAAAACAAAATGATTTCTTGGGTGAACCGTTTACAGAGAGAGAGTCCTCAATTTATGGCCAATGGCTTAGTGACCGTTTGACATTAGGACAGATCCACTGGGAGTTATACACGACCCAGATTTGAAGTTTCAACAGGTGCCCTCTCTCCCCCACTCGTGGCCACGTTACACGGGCCACATTTGCAGCCACTTGTACCTTCCTGTGGTCCTTTGATCGCGTTTTACAATAGTTTTGCTGAAAATGGACATTTCCTTCTGGTTTGGGAAAACCGTGCCCGTAGTAAGCCATTGGTTCAGCTAATAACCACCAACACACACACACACTCAGACAGACAGACAGACAGAAAATCAGGTTGTTCATGTGACCCACTTTGTTGTTGTTAATTGCGAAGTCGTGTCCGACCCATCGTGACCCCATGGACAACGTTCCTCCAGGCCTTCCTGTCCTCTACCATCTTCTGGAGTCCATTTAAGCTCATGCCTCCTGCTTCAGTGACTCCATCCAGCCACCTCATTCTCTGTCGTCCCCTTCTTCTCTTGCCCTCCATCTTTCCCAGCATTAGGCTCTTCTCCAGTGAGTCCTTCCTTCTCATTAGGTGGCCAAAGCACCTGAGTTTCAACTTCAGGATCTGGCCTTCTAAAGAGCAGTCAGGGTTTATCTCCTCTAGGACTGACCGGTTTGAGCGCCTTGCAGTCCAGGGGACTCGCAGGAGTCTTCTCCAGCACCAGAGTTCAAAGGCCTCCATTCTTTGTCGCTCAGCCTTTCTCAGTCCAACTTTCACATCCATACATTGTGACCCACTTTAGGCCAGCCCTAAAATCACAGGAAGGGGTCTCTCAGAGGTCTTCTAGTCCAATCCCCTACTCAGATCGGGAGTCTTATACCACCCCAGTTAAATGGTTCTCCATTCCCAACTTACAACCGCGATGGGAGGCTCCATTACATTCGTAGGTCGAGGCGGGAAATGTGATAGATGAAGCATTTCTAGCTAGCCTAACTTAGAGCTGTGCTGGCGGAGGGGTTAGAAGTATTGCAGGTTGATTCTGCCGACTGCCAGGGGTTCAATCCTCACCGGCTCAAGGTTGACTCAGCCTTCCATCCTTCCGAGGTCGGTAAAAATGAGGACCCAGATTGTTGGGGGCACAATAGGCCGACTCTGTAAACCGCTTAGAGAGGGGCTATTGCTATTTAGAAAAAAATGGAAATCGGCGAGAGAGAAATATCCAAGCAGGCCAACTGTCTGGGATGCATACGATGAAGGGAGGAGAGCATTTCCCCAAACTCAATGCTGAAAGCCAAATGCCACTTCCCAGAGCATTAAAGCAGCTACATCCTCTAAGGCAGAAGTCCCCAACCTTTTGGGCACCAGGGACAGGTTCCATGGAGAAAGGTTTTTCCACGGACCGGAAAGTGCATGGTTTTGTGTGCTGCCTGCATCCCACGGATGGGGCTTTGCTTGTTTGTGCGGACCGGTTGCTAGCATGCCGCGGCCGAGTACCGGTCCACGTACCGGGGGTTGGGGACCCCCAGTATAAGGCACTCATAGCTGCCTCAAAGGACATCCCTTTGATCGTGGTGTCGCAGGGCTTATAATTCAGTATTGCAAGCTGACTCTGCCCACTGCCAGCAATTCGATACTGGCTCAAGGTTGACTCGGCCTTCCATCCTTCCGAAGTCGGTAAAATGAGGACCCAGATTGTTGGGGGCAATACGCTGACTCTGTAAACCGCTTAGAGAGGGCTGTAAAGCACTGTGAAGTGGTATATGCTATTGCTATTCCCCTGCTCTCTATTGTCTGTCTGTCTGTCTGTCTGTCTTGTCTGTCTGTCTGTCTGTCTGTCTGTCTTGTCTGTCTGTCTGTCTGTCTGTCTGTCTGTCTGTCTGTCTGTCTGTCTGTCTGTCTGTCTGTCTATCTATCTATCTATCTATCTATCTATCTATCTATCTATCTATCTATCTATCTATCTATATCTGGTGGCGCAATGATTAGAATGCAGTATTGCAGGCTAATTCTGCCCACTGCCATGAGTTTGATCCTGACCGTCTCAAGTGTCATGTGTCTGATTGTCATGTGTCATGTGTCAGACAGTTCTGCATATTGTCAAAGCAAGAATATACAGTATTTGCAGCGTTGACATCAAGGTTGACTCGGCCTTCCATCCTTCCGAAATCAGTAAAATGAGGATCCAGATTGTTGGGGGCAAATATGCTGACTCTGTAAACTGCTTAGAGAGGGCTGTAAAGCACTATGAAGTGGTATATGCTATTGCTATTCCCCTGTTCTCTATTATCTGTCTTATCTATCTATCTATCTATCTATCTATCTATCTATCTATCTATCTATCTATCTATCTATCTATCTATCTGTCATCTATCCATCCATCCATCCATCCATCCATCCATCCATCCATCCATCCATCCATCTATCTATCTATATCTGGTGGCGCAGTGGTTAGAATGCAGTATTGCAGGCTAATTCTGCCCACTGCCATGAGTTTGATCCTGACCGGCTCAAGGTTGACTCAGCCTTCCATCCTTCCGAAGTCGGTAAAATGAGGACCCAGATTGTTGGGGGCAAATATGCTGACTCTGTAAACCGCTTAGAGAGGGCTGTAAAAACACTGTGAAGCGGCATATAAGTCTAAGGGCTATCGCTAAGTCTAGAATCGGTGTCAACCCCTTGCTACGAAAAGAACCCTTTCCCCTCTTGTTTTCAGATTGCACGTCAACAGCATGCCTCTGTTTAACGAGAACTTTTTTTTTGCTTCCCCCCCCTTGCAGTAACGATGCGTCAATTTGACCACCCCCACATTGTCAAGCTGATTGGCGTCATTACGGAAAACCCTGTCTGGATCATTATGGAGCTGTGTACTCAGGGAGAGGTAAGAGAGGAATCGATCAAGGCAACGTCTGTCTTCAAGCATTTGATAAAAGACTTGGGGGGAACATGGAAGTATTGTGTGAACGTCTCTCTCGAAGGAAGGAAGCACGTTCAGCATTTGGCAACGGCAGAATCATAGTTTCAAATGGAGCCCGGCGGGAATTGTGGATTGAAGAGGAGACCTAAACCTTTTTTTTCTCAGTGTGGAGTTGAGTGACAGATCTCTGGTTTACTACTGGGAAGAGGAGAGCTGAAAATGATCATAAATAAATTTTAAAAAAAACTTTGCACACCCTAAAGGTAGTCCTTGACACGCAGCAGTCCATTTAGTGACCGTTCCAAGTTACAGAGGCACTGAAAAAAGTGACTTATGACCTTTTTTCACACCTACGACCATTGCAGCCTTGTGAAGAGGCCAGGGTTGCCCACCCTTCAGAATCAGAATCAGAATAGAGCTGGAAGGGACCTTGGAGGTCTTCTAGTCCAGCCCCCTGCTCAAGCAGGAGATCCTATACCATTTCAGACAAGTGGCTGTCTTGTCTCTTTTTAAAAACCTCCAGTGATGAAGCACCCACAACTTCTGGAGGCAAGGAGTTCCATTGGTTAATTGTCCTCACTGTCAGGAAGTTTCTCCTAAATTCCTGATTGCTTCTCCCCTTGATTAGTTCCCATCCATTGTTTCTTGTCCTGCCCTCTGGTGCTTTGGAAAATAAATTGACTCCCTCCTCTTTGTGGCAGCCTCTCAAACACTGGAATACTGCTATCATGTCCCCCTTAGTCCTTCTTTTCTCTAGACTAGCCATGCCCAATTCCTGCAACCCTTCTTAGTTTAGAGTACGGTAGTCCAAGCTCTTGTAAAACACGTACGTTTTGATTGGAAGGAAATCCATTTAATTCTAAAGTTCAGCAGAGATACCCAAATTCGAATACTGTCATCGCTTTCCTTTTAATAGTTGAGTGCCACAATGATTGAGGCCACTGCCAGGACTTCTTGTGGAAGTCTAGTGATAAAAGTCCACTTTAGAAGTCACAGTTTCTCTGAAGCAGTCCAGTGAGAATGGAGCAGGCTCAGTAGCCACGGGATGGAGGACACTGGAATGGAGAAGAGAGATCAAGGCAGTTGGGATTCTTTATACGCCACAACATCATCATCATCATCATCATCATAATATCACACAGACTGACTACAAGCAGCAGCATGATAAAGTAGCAACAATGGTGCATTGGAAGATCTGCAAGAAATATCATTGGCCTGCAAGCAAGAACTGGTGGGATCATAAAATAGAGAAAAGTCATAGAAAATGATAAAATTAAACTGCTCTGGGACTTCAGAATTCAAACAGACAAACACCTGCAACATAACACCCCGGACTTAACAATTGTCGATAAGAAAGACAAAAAAGTCTGGATAGTGGACGTGGCAGTGCCTGGAGACAGCAGAATAGACGAGAAAGAACTGGAGAAGATAACAAAATACAAAGACCTATAAATAGAAATAGAAAGACTATGGCAAAAGCAAGCAAGGGTAGTACCAATAGTCATAGGCGCCTTGGGTGCAATCCCAAAACAACTGGAGCACCATTTGAACACCATCATCGGCATTGACAAATTCACCATTAGTCAATTGCAAAAGGCGGCCTTACTAGGAACCGCTTCCATCCTGCGACGATATCTGTAATATCGTCAAACATCCACATCTGCCTATCCCAGGTCCTGGGTAAGGACTCGATAGGTAGACAAAATGCCAAATCCAGTCTGAACATCTGGCTGACTGTGTGATGATCCTCAATAATAATAATAATAATGATGATGATGATGATGATGATGATGATGATGATGATGATGATAAAGTTGGAAGGGACCTTGGAGGTCGTCTAGTCCAACCTCCTGCTCAGGCAGGAAACCCTATACCGTTTCGGACAAATGGCTGTCCAGACTCTTAAAAACTTCCAGTGTTTGACAAGAGACTGGACAGCCATTTGTCCGAAATGTTGAACAGAGATCCTTTGCGCTGCAACGTTCTGCCCCTGGTTTTGTTTTTGCTCAGTCTGACCTCTCTCTCTCTCTCTCTCCTTTATCCTGTAGCTGAGATCGTTTCTCCAAGTCAGAAAATACAGCTTAGATCTGGCGTCTTTGATACTTTACGCTTATCAACTTAGCACCGCCCTTGCCTACTTAGAGAGCAAACGGTTTGTACATAGGTAAGATCATCACCACCCAGCAAAATATTTGTGTATATATATAAAAAAAAAGTTGTATACATC